ACATTTTCTAAACAGTGGCCATGATATGTAAAATATAAACTACTTTTGATGCTCAAAATAACCTTAAGAGAATGAATTCTAGAAACCCAGTGGTGTATTGGTGCCACCTCAGGGCCTTGTGGAGCTGATTGTGAGCACCTTTTGCAAATTCCAAGTTCAGCAATGTTATATGGGCTTGAACTCAGTCATGCTACCGGTATTTACACCACAGGAATTGGCAAATGTAAAGCTCAGGCCCTTTTTCCTAGAGAGCTGATGGTTAAACATTTACTAGCAAAACTCCATAAAAAATAATAACAACTTTAGCAAAGATCCAGAGCCACAAAATACGAGGCTAACTTGGCCTTTCATTTTATTTCCATGCTTTGCATCTGTGTAGCCAAAGTGGGATTATGCCCATGAAAATTTTTTGCTCACAAAGCATTTTATAAATATTATGTGATTAATTCTCACAACACCCTGGAGTATCTAGGGAGGCTAAGTAACTTACCTGGGGCAGAACAGGATATGGACGGTGAAAAGCAGAACTCAACCAGTCTATGAACCACCTCAGTAGGGGTGAGCATTATGGCGCGGTGGGTTAAGCTGCTGCCTGGGATATCCAAGGACTACATCAGAGTGCCTGGGATTGTGTCCTGCTTCTGCTTCTGATCTAATTTCCTGTTAAGGTGCCTGGAAGGTAGCAGGCAATGGCTCAAGTACTTGGGTTCCTGCCACCCACATGGGAGATCAGGGTGGAGTTCTTGGTTCCCAGCTTCAGCCTGGTCCAACCCTGGCTGTTGCAGATATCTGGGGAGTGAACCAGCAGACGGAAGCGTTCTCCCCCATACCACCCCACTAGCATTGTGTGTGTGTGTGTGTGTGTGCCCGTGCATGTGTGTCTCCCCCCCGTGCCATCACTCTGCCTTTCAGATGCTGTATCATGAGTTGCTTCACGAGAGGCCCACATGGCAAGGACCTGATTTGATTGATGACTCTGGCCGACAGCCTCTAGGTAACTGTAGCCCCGACCAACATGACCATGGTCTTGTGAGAGACTAAGCCAGGGGACCCAGCTAAGTACACATTCCAGACAGACAGAAACTATGGGATAGTATTTATCTATTATTTTTGAGATACGAGATTTCCAGTTGTTATGCAACAATGGATCCTTAGCAAACTCTCAACCAGAAGGGAAACGTTGACAGATTCAGTCACTGGAATCTGCCACATAAATCATCTCCATAGGATGAGGCCTATACACCTCACACGATGATAGCAGAGCTCTCCCTGTCTTCAGTCTGGACGCCTCTGACTGTCATAACACGGCAAGGTGTTTTAGGGATGAGAACGTGCCCATTTGGAGGAATGGTCAACACCCCCAAACAACTGCGAGCACCAGTCAATGGCAACCTGGCCAACTGGAAATTCCAAGTCCTCAGGGTCAATGGTTTGGTAAGAGAGGCTGGGAAGGGAAGCGCCTGCTAAAAGCTGTCCTTTCTGGTCTTCCATGAGTCATCCTTCCAGGTAGAGTTTCATTGTCATGGCAGGATTGTGGCAGCAGGAAAGTGGCCATTTTCAAATCCAACCTGCCATCAGAATGTATCTCAACTAGATAAACCTGGGACTTGGCCAAAATAAGTAGCATTTAAAAAACCGGAGCCAATGAATACCAGCACTTTCCTATGGGTTCATACAAAGAGATTTGAAGAAATAAAGGCCTTTGTTATTTGAAAGGGCAGGGAGGACTGGAAGTTTTGCAGCAGTTTCCAAAGAAGACACCAATGAGCAGCTTTGGGAGTTGGGTGTGGAAGGTGTTGCTGGGACAAGAAAATGGATCCTGGACAGAATGTAAACTAATGTTACTGCATTTGTTGGAGAGTCTAAAATAGATCATTTAGCCTCCTCCACTGTGAACCCACTGTCTGTGTTCTAAAATCACAGCATTTTGCATCAGACAAACTATGGAAAGCTACAACACCCCTCACAAACAGCAAATTCTGATCTGGGGGAACAATCTTACATTGATTTTTTTTTTTTAAATAGTCTTTCAAAACAAAGCAATCTCAAAAATGTTTGCCTTTGCGTCTGTGTTTTTTGCACTTGTCTGCTTGGGACAGAGCAAGAGAAAACACATCTGTGAGGTTTTCCATCTGGGATGGGTTTTCTGCATCTCATGCATAGGCTGTTATTTTTAAGGGTTTTCTTTTTTCTTTCTAAAGTAGTACCCCTCCTCCCCAACACCGGAGGTATCTGGGGCGATAACAGGAGGAGTCGCAGTTCACCAGCTACACTGGTTTTAGCTGCACTGGAGATGGTATTTTATCTTGTCAGTTTTCATTTTATGTGATGGCAGAGCTTGGTATTTCTCTCTCGATAAGCAAAGATGACTTAGATCAGCGGCCTGATGAATAAGCATGAAAATCTGATTCAGGAAAGGAGGCTATCCTGGAGCTCACAGACAGAAAAAAGGAATGGAAGCTCCCACCACACACACTTTAAATGACAAAGCAGAGCCGCCCCATTGTCTTTAAACAGCGTCCTCTCCGAAACCGCAACACTCCTGGATGTTAGGGCACAAGGAAATAGTTTAGAAAGGAAAAGGAGAGCCCTTGAAAAAAATACAAGGGAGGAATACTGTTCTATTGCTCTTCATATCACCAAAGTGGGGGGAGGGATCAAAACCAGTCTGAGAGGGAAGGGGTGCCGTAGGGGCCGCAGGGAGGACACACTAGCTACCTCGGAGGGCTTCGGTCTGGACCCACCGACAGCAGCCGCAAGCGACGCAGAGCCGTCAAGTGGAAGGCAGGGTGTCCAGCGAACCTCAGTGGCAAAACGAAGGGCGCCGATGTCCCCATGGAGGGCAACCCCACGAACTCGGTAGCGATTTCAGGATCAGTTTTTCTCCTTGCAGGAGAAGAAGCGCACTGGGGGCAGCACCCTCGGCCGGCGGCGTTCAGCTCGATCGGAACCCGCTGGGAGCGCGGGCCGAGGGGCCGGCCCGGATAACGATTTGAAAAGCAGAGGATGAAACAGAGGCTCGGCGGCGACTGAGGGGGGGGGGGGGGGGGGGCGGCAGTATTTTGATTTTTTTTTTCTTCCTAAACATGTCACTGAAGTCACTTTCCCGCCTGGGATCCCCGCTATACTCGGCCGCCCCGAGAGAACCGGGAGGCCCTCTGGCCACTTGCGACCCCGCGAGCGCCCCGCGCCTGAGGCAGGAGGAAGGTTTACCGAGAACAAAAGAACGCTCGCCAGTCCGGAGGCGCTCCCGAGAACAAGGGGAGCCCCTCTCCGGGTCTGGAGAACGCGTTCAGGAGCAGCGGCCCTGGTTTCTGACACGCATGGCAACTTTCCTGGGCAGATTCCAAATGGAGGATCAGATCATGCTCCCGCAACGGAGACGGGTCCCACCCCCAGGCCACAGGCCCACAGAAGTAAGGGGCACGGGGCCCCGGCAGAGGCTCTGCGAGTCGTACGGAGTGTGCCGGGCACTCGGGCCGGCCCCGTTTCCTACGGCCTCGCCGCGGCCACCTCAGCGGGCGGCGGACGCCGGGGCCGGGAGGAGCGCGGGCGGGACGGCCCGGGGCCCCGCGCCTGGAGTCCCGCGCCGGGCCCGCTCCTCGAGGGTCTGCACTTCCTCCCGCCTTCGCTCTCGGCCCCCACGGCTGCCGCCGATTTCTCCTCCGAGGCCACCCCTCCTCCTTTTCACAACCGGGGGAGGGGGTGCGAGGGGACCGCAGCCTTACGCGGTCTGCCCGGCTCCGGAGGGAGAAAAGCAATCCGCAAGGCGCGCCCCCTTCCCACCCCGTCCGGATCCGCACGCTTAGGATCCCGCCACCCAAAGCCCCCGCCAAAGCTCAGCGTTTCCAGCCGGGAAGCGACTGAAGCGGCTCCGGGCCCCCGCTCCCCGGCCGTGCCGCGGCGCTATTCTCGACTCTGAGGCGAATGAGCCCTTCTGCTCAGGAATGTGTGTTTAGTGCACCCGGAAGAGGAACAAATCTTTCAAGTAAATTCCCTTTCTGGTGCGTTTTTCTCCCCTGAGCCAATGCAGGGTAAAAGTTTTTCCCAACTTTTCCCTCCCAGTCCCCCGCCCCTCCCCTCAGGAATCCGCCCAGAGCGCAGCAGTCACCGCCTCCCCCCACCCCCGTTCCCTTGCCCGCCCCTTCCGACTTCCACCCAATCCAGAGGCGGCCCCAGAGAAAACAAAGGCCACCATTGGGCCGCGCCGGGGCGCGGGCACCGCCCCCTGAGTGGTTTGTGAATGGGGGGAGGGGAGGGGGCGGGTCGGCCGGAGCGCTGCGAGCCCGACGCTTCTTCTGGCCACCGGCGCGGCTCCCAGGCGTTACTCGGCGCTCCCTCCCGGCGGCTGGCGGCGGCGGGCGCCGGGACTCGGGGGCCGGGGCTGCGCGAGGCCGGAGAGGCCGGGGCCAGGCCGCGGGCACAGGGGCCTCGCCGCTTCAGACGCCGAGTGACTGTGCTTGCAGCAGAAGTCGCCGGGCTCCAGGCTCTGAGGCGCCGGTGGGACTCAGCGAGAGCCAGCCGTTTGGGGCTGAAACTTGGGGCCGAAGAAGGCGCGGGGCGTGGAGGAGGAGGCGAAGGAGGCGGTGGCGAGCCGAGCCTCGAGGCGAGGAGGCGGAGCAGCACCTCCGAGGCGGCGGCCCCGGCGAGCAGGCGGCGGCGGCGGCGCCGGCTCTGACCTGGCGGGGGCCGGACTTGGAGTGGGGGGCGTGCGCGTCCGTGTGCGCTGGGTTGGGTTGGGGGGAGGGTTCGAGAGACTTCGGCAAACTTTGAAGGGGAGCCGGAGACGCTTGTTGCTCCTCGCCGCAGAGAAAGGCGCACCGTTACGTCCCCGCAGAGAGGGCCAGGCCGTCCCCCTCCGCGCCCCCGGCCCAGACTGACGCGTTTGGGCCCCCGGCGGCCGCGCGAGCGCCGGGCGGAGGCGGCTGCGGCGCCCCCGCGGCGCGGGCACCCCAGCGGCAGCTCCCTCGGCTCCGCGCCGCCCACGGCCCGGCCCCGGCGCCGGGAGGACTCTCATGCGCCGGGCGCGGCGGCGCCTCCCGGCATCCAAGCCTCTCCCAGCCGCCTCATCGCACTCCCTGGGCTGAGAGCGTCGCTGCACTCGCGGCCGGCGATGCGGGGCCCCGGCGCGGCCGCGTCGCGTTCGCCCCTGGGCCTGTGCGCCCTGGTGCTGGCGCTGCTGGGCGCGCTGCCCGCGGGCGCCGGGGCGCAGCCCTACCACGGCGAGAAGGGCATCTCGGTGCCGGACCACGGCTTCTGCCAGCCCATCTCCATCCCGCTGTGCACGGACATCGCCTACAACCAGACCATCCTGCCCAACCTGCTGGGCCACACGAACCAGGAGGACGCGGGCCTCGAGGTGCACCAGTTCTACCCGCTGGTGAAGGTGCAGTGCTCGCCCGAGCTGCGCTTCTTCCTGTGCTCCATGTACGCGCCCGTGTGCACCGTGCTCGATCAGGCCATCCCGCCCTGCCGCTCTCTGTGCGAGCGCGCGCGCCAGGGCTGCGAGGCACTCATGAACAAGTTCGGCTTCCAGTGGCCCGAGCGGCTGCGCTGCGAGAACTTCCCGGTGCACGGCGCCGGCGAGATCTGCGTGGGCCAGAACACGTCCGACGGCTCCGGAGGCCCCGGCGGCGGCCCCACCGCCTACCCCACGGCGCCCTACCTGCCGGACCCGCCCTTCACCGCGCTGCCCCCGGGGGCTGCGGACGGCAGGGGCCGCGCCGCCTTCCCCTTCTCGTGCCCGCGCCAGCTCAAGGTGCCCCCCTACCTGGGCTACCGCTTCCTGGGCGAGCGCGACTGTGGCGCCCCTTGCGAGCCGGGCCGTGCCAACGGCCTCATGTACTTCAAGGAGGAGGAGAGGCGCTTCGCCCGCCTCTGGGTGGGCGTGTGGTCCGTGCTGTGCTGCGCTTCGACCCTCTTCACCGTGCTCACCTACCTGGTGGACATGCGGCGCTTCAGCTACCCAGAGCGGCCCATCATCTTCCTGTCGGGCTGCTACTTCATGGTGGCCGTGGCGCACGTGGCGGGCTTCCTGCTGGAGGACCGCGCCGTGTGCGTGGAGCGCTTCTCGGACGACGGCTACCGCACGGTGGCGCAGGGCACCAAGAAGGAGGGCTGCACCATCCTCTTCATGGTGCTCTACTTCTTCGGCATGGCCAGCTCCATCTGGTGGGTCATCCTGTCGCTCACCTGGTTCCTGGCGGCCGGCATGAAGTGGGGCCACGAGGCCATCGAGGCCAACTCGCAGTACTTCCACCTGGCCGCGTGGGCCGTGCCGGCCGTCAAGACCATCACCATCCTGGCCATGGGCCAGGTGGACGGGGACCTGCTCAGCGGCGTGTGCTACGTGGGCCTCTCGAGCGTGGACGCGCTGCGGGGCTTCGTGCTGGCCCCGCTCTTCGTCTACCTCTTCATCGGCACCTCCTTCCTGCTGGCCGGCTTCGTGTCGCTCTTCCGCATCCGCACCATCATGAAGCACGACGGCACCAAGACGGAGAAGCTGGAGAAGCTGATGGTGCGCATCGGCGTGTTCTCGGTGCTCTACACCGTGCCCGCCACCATCGTGCTGGCCTGCTACTTCTACGAGCAGGCCTTCCGCGAGCACTGGGAGCGCACCTGGCTCCTGCAGACGTGCAAGAGCTATGCCGTGCCCTGCCCGCCCGGCCACTTCCCGCCCATGAGCCCCGACTTCACGGTCTTCATGATCAAGTACCTGATGACCATGATCGTGGGCATCACCACGGGCTTCTGGATCTGGTCGGGCAAGACCCTGCAGTCGTGGCGCCGCTTCTACCACAGACTCAGCCACAGCAGCAAGGGGGAGACTGCGGTATGAGCCCCGGCCCCTCCCCCACACCCTGCCCGCGCCCACCCGCTGTGAGTGGGGGGGGGGAGGCGCCGCCGGGAGAGAACTGTCGGGTGGGTAGGGGGGCTTGTTTTGGTCACCACCTTTCCCTCCACCGGGAAACGACCGGGGAGCGAGTTGTTTGCAGAATTGGGGTGGGGGCCGCGGAGGTGGGGGTTGGAAAGGAGGCCTTAGTGGAAAGTGGTTTGGATCAACAGACTTCTGGCAAAGACTTTCAGGCTGATGATGATGGTGGTGGTGGTGGTGAACGGTACGGGCCGGCGTGGGCCCCTGGAGAAGACCAAGACCGGGAGAGACTGCTCTAAGTTCTTGCTGGCTGCAGGCCGGGCGGGCCGAGAGCCATCCCCTGCTGCAAGGCAAGTGGCCGGTCCTCACTGCCGAGCGGCCCCGCGGGAGCGGCCGCTTTGTTGGGAAGAGGGGGGCCTCCTGCAGTGTTCTTGTCAAGCGGTGGTCAAACCATAATCTCTTTTCACTGGGGCCAAACTGGAGCCCAGATGGGTTAATTTCCAGGGTCAGACGCTACACGTTGGCCTCCCCTGCCCCCTCCCGCCTGGTTTTCCTCCTCAGCCCCTTTCGGGACTTGTAAAATAGGCATTTGGAAGTGCTGGGAGCCCTGCCTGCTAAGAGCCCGAAAGCTAGGGAGCTAAAGAAGTGCCGAGAAGGTTTCAGGATGAGGCCGGGGGCGGGGGCAGGGCCTGCAGCCGAAAGGAGGGCGTTTTATTTAGTTTAGTACCCTGAAAAGAAGTGATGACTTGTTGCTTTTCAAAACAGGAATGCATTTTTCCCCCTTGTCTTTGTTGTAAGAGACAAAAGAGGAAACCAAAGTGTCTCCCTGTGGAAAGGCATAACTGTGAAGACGGCAACTTTTACAGGCAAAGCGGGGCAAATCGGAGGTTTCCCTTTGGTTGGTAATTGGGTTGAGATAAACATTCCTTTTTAAGGAAAAGTGAGGGAGGGTGTGCTTCCATACCCGGTTCAGCCAGAGGTTCTGACTTGGCTGAAGGAAACCTAAGGATGTTTTATTGTTTGTTTTAAGTCAGTTTAATTCAGAACACATGATCCAACAAGCTCTGTTCACATGTTCAGGGAAATCTTCCCTTCATTTATTTTTCTTGCTATAAGCCTACATGTAGGTTTTCTTTCTCATTTTTTTTTCTCTCTTCAATTTGGATCCTTCAAGATAAAAGGAAAAGCATAATGCCCTTCAGCATAATAATAAAAGAAAGCTAATTTAAAAAAAAAAAAAGCTAAGGAACCAGTTTGTCCATTTGATCATGGTTCCATAAATCTGTTTATAAAACATCATGTGTATGCTGACCCCGTCCCCGGGGTCGGGTGGGGAGGTAGGTGAGCTGCAGAAATGAGAATAAACCAAGAGGAAAGTTTGAACCTCGGGCCCCCTTTTTATAAAAAGTCATTAAAAGAAGGTAAACTTCAAAGTGATTCTGGAGTTCTTTGAAATGTGCTGGAAGACAAATTTACTATTCTTAAATGACGTTCTTCTTTTCTGTACCAGAACACGGATTCTTTGGCATAGTGGTGTAGCGCTGAGCAGGGAATCATGGGAGCTAACCCTCACTCCACCTTTGACATGGCCGTCAGGTCTTGCAACACTGCCCTGTTTCTCAGAACAGTTTTTAAATGCCCATCAGAGGGTACCCTCTGGAGAACAAGTTACTTTCTGTGTGTGACGTTGAGTGGAGTGAATTGAGTGGAGCTGCGTTTACATTCAGCTTAAAAATGATCTTGTGTCGCTCAGACCTTCGAAACTGTCTCCTCTGTCAGAAATTTTAAACTCCCACTACACAGGTTTGCTCATCTTTTGTGTTATATCTCTTTAAGGTGCATGTGAAATTTGTAAGATAGACAAGTGCAGTATGTATATTTTGTAAATCTCCCATTTTTGTAAGAAATATATATTGTATTTATACATTTTTACTTTGGATTTTTGTTTTGCCTTTAAAAGTCTACAATGAAGCCCCACTTTATCACGTGTACAGATCACAAATAAATTTTTTTTTAAAATACAAAGTGGATGTTTATTTAGTTTACTGTCCATCAGAACTTTTGTGTTCTGGAAGGAAGGTAGGGAGGCAGACCACTGGGCAGGGCCCATCCAAAGGAGGATGCTGTAGGGTATTGAGGTCTTCCCTGCCTTTTAAAACACAGAGGCTAATGAATGCCTTGACTGTCCTTTAATTTTTTTTTCTGCTGTCGCTGCTTCCTGTCTCCCTCCACCCCCTCCCCACCCACCCCCCCACACACACCCCTAAGCCTTTTCACATCCTGCTTTGGAGGACCTATTGAAAGTACTGAATAAGCATCTCTTTTAGATGCTGTCTGATCCACGTGTTTACCGCCCTTAGGAGATGGAGTCTGTGTTTAAAAGAGGACTGAAAGATGTTTTTGGCATCCTCTGCTTTTCAGGTGGTGTTTTCCTTGGGGAGAAAGCGGTGGCTTTTTTTGTTTTGTAACTGATTGGTGTTTTTGTATTCTAATGTGCCTTATCTACATTGTTAATTCGGAAGCGCCTTGGGTTCAGGTGGTGGGGAAGAAGCAGCCGCTGCTTCCAGGTATTCTTGGGGGCCTCGCTCCGCGGCCTGCTTAGCTGAAGGCTTCGTTCTGCCTTCGAGGTAAACCGAACCGGAGGGCAGGCAGCTCCCCGAGGTGGCAGTGACTCAGCAGCTGGGCCTGACCCCGGGATGGCCTCAGAAGCCACTGGCGCTACTCTCTCCTCTGCTAGAAGAGGCTAACTTTGGAATCAGCTCAGGCAGGGAAGCCTACGCGGTCCGGGCATCCAATACTCAGCAAGTCCCTCGGGGAGCCGGCCCAATGTCCACCCACCCATGTCTCTTCTGCCATTCAGGAGCCAGAGTCCTGGCTCTGTGTCCTGTAGTCCCTTGCAGTTTCTATAGTTCTAAAGCACAACAGAAACTCCCCTGGTTTTGTGTTAATGAACAGGTTCGCGCACAGCCAGTGTGTTTCACAAACGTGCACGAAGAAAACTGGCGGCCAGCACTTCTCTCCCGGAGTGGGAAGCAGCAGGTCTATACTCCTCGCTTTTCTTTAAGATCCTCCTGGGCTTCCAATATCACAATGACTGTGAGGTCATCTTAACCTAGCAAGAGTTTGGCATCGAGGAAGGAAAAAAAAAAAAAAAAACAGATTTATGGAACCAAGATAAATGACTTCAGGTCTCACGGGGTTTATCCAGTTTTTGCTCATAAAATGACACCTTTTAGGTTACAGCAAACCCTAGGACTGCCTGTTAAGAGTGTTTGCTTTCAGAGTAGGAGGAAGGCTCCCAACGGGTGTTTTTTTTCTTCTTATTTTTTTTTCCTTGCAAATGAACTGCTGAAGGCACTTGGGCCCTTCTACCCCGAGCTGTGAGCTGTGTGGCTCTCGGAAGAACGTGTTGCCTTCCTCGGCTTTCAGGGCTCTGCAGTGAGGGAACAAAGCCGGTATCTGAATAAATTGCCACCTCCTTTTTTGTAAGCAAAGATAAAAGTGTTCAGTGTAATTCCGTCCACACTGGGGCTAGCGCTCACGCTGGGGATTCTTACCTAAGCATTCTAGAAGCTTGGGTTTTTCTTAAGGAGTCGCATCTCAGCAGAAAATATGTGTGGGGAGAGTGTTTGTGACAGGGCATGTGTAGAGTTTAAGAAAAACATTGGCAAGAGTTTGGTGTTAATCCCCAGATAAGGAGCCGAAACACTTGTGAAAATTTCCTGCAGTTTATAAAACAAAAGCAGTCTACACAGCAACCCCCCACGGGACACCTAATCTTTTTAAGTAGGTAGGTGAGAAATCTTGGCAGAAAAAAAAAAAAGTCCTGTTAACATCTTATCATGAAAAAAGTAGTTTTTTGAATGTGCTTGATATAAATAGTGATATTAGAACTCCTCTGGGTCAGACTACAGTGGGCTGACAGCTGTGGGTTTGAGCCCTGTAATTACACTGGGAAAATCTCTCCTAACTCTGCCATCTTTAATTTCACTGAAGAGGCAGGTGGCTATTTATAGATGGTATATTTTTATATATGCATATGTGGATGGTGAATAACAGTCTACAGGGCTCCAGGAAATCCTAGAAGGGACCAAAAACACTCCAGTGTGCACTTAAATCAACAATTCCAGGTCTGTTCCATTTTCCCTTATTTCCCCCACAGCAGCATTAAACTGATTTCATAAAACCTGATTCTTCTTAATTTGTGACATTTCTTACATCTGAACCTGTCTTCCTCATATTTCATAGAAAAATGAGCTTATTTCAAAGGGCAGCCTTAGAATTTTGGCTCTTCGGTGTGTGTGTGGGGGTGGGTGGGTGGGTGTCTTGCATATATATATATATAGTACAGTCATCTTGGATTTTCTCAGTACTGCAGTGATGGAAAACGGGAAGTTTGACCAAGATAACGGTAGCTTATTACAAGCGATCCAGTTCGACAAGATCAAGGCACCACTACACAGAAGGCACTGTGAAAGAGACCCAAAGGACGACAGATAAAAGTAAAAAAGACAAAGTCCAGCGAAGTAACTCGGGCCCGTGTTCAGAGGGAGGGAAGGCATCCCCTAGAGAAGAGAAAGCAAGTGACTCTAACGCTGGACAGAGCGTGAGCAGTGGCAGGATCCGGGCACAGACGCTGTCGGCATTCGGTGGCACTGATTGTTTGGGAAAGCCACTTTAGCCTCACAACTGAGGTGGGGAATAACCCGTGCTTTAAAGACGCACAAGCTGTAAGACGCAGAGAGGCGTCGTGACGCAGGCGGAGGCAAGCAGGAGCCTCCTGCCCTTGGACTGAACCCAGGGTGGTTCCTGTAATCTGCCACAGGGCCTCTCACCCCCGCTCCTGCCGCGGCCGGTCCTGCAGAGGCGCTGGCGCTAAGAAGGCACTGCCGAAACAGCCTATATGACCCCGGGGGAACCTGTGTGCTCGAAGTGCCTTCTGTCTGGTGAAGGTGACCAGGGTCTCCTCCGGCCGCCCGTGGTCCCTACGTAGCACAGCCCTGTGTGAAGTTCCACACACACACACACACACACACACACACCCCATTTGTGAATCGTCCGTAGCCATGTTCAAATCCCCGGCTGCTCGGCTGTTTCCACCCCAGGGCAGTGTGTCCCTAAGCCAGTGGGTGCCCAGTGAAGGAAAAGGAACTTCAGTAGTGGCTTCTGCAAGCCCAGTGCCAAGGCGAAGTCACCGCTGTGCGGCTGTCTACTGAAGCCAGAACCCAGGTTGGGGCCAGGTGGGGTCCGGTACAGGCCCCGGTGCTGCGCCTCCCTCCTCTCCACCAGCAAACGCGTTCCGCCATCTGAGGGCGCATCTCCCTCAGACACCCAGGGGATCTTACTCTCTGAGTCCTTAGCTCAGTCGCCGTCTAGTTATCGCGGGATTTCTGTCGCTGGGGATTTCAGGATCAAATCCACCCCTGAAGTGGCTGGAATGATAGCACAGAGGTTTGGGGGTTCTGCCCAGTGATCCTCAGGCAAGAGCTTCTCTAGGTCCCCAAAGCCCCTTTCAAAAGACTGCAAACTGACAATAAAACTGACGCTGTGGCTGAGGGCTCCAAGTGTGCTTCCGCTGCGGTCCGCTTCGCTTTTTAGGGAACACAAGTTCGCCTCTGGATCGCCCTTACCCCTCACACCTGTAAAGCCCCTTACGCTGCTGTCCTGGCATCAGATTCAGCACGGAGCTCAAGAGGCAGTCTCTTGAGAGATCAGCAAACTGGGAGTGAGAAACGGCATTTAGGAGGCAGGGATGGAGGAGGAGGTGGGGCGAGGAGATAAAGTTCCATGGAGCCCAGAGCCCATGGGTAAAGGTGTTCAAAAGATCCAACCCAGTACTACCCCTCACCCTGCCCTTAGGGGGATCCCCAAACTTCAGCTGGGCTTTGCAGATTCCAGAATACAATTTTTTTTTTTTATTTGACAAGTAGAGTTACAGACAGTGAGGGAGAGAGAGACAGAGAGAAAGGTCTTCCTTCCATTGGTTCACTCCCCAAATGGCCACTATGGCCGGTGCACTTCACCGATCTGAAGTCGGGAGCCAGATGCTTCCTCCTGGTCTCCCATGCGGGTACAGGGGCCCAAGCACTTGGGCCATCCTCCACTGCCTTCCCAGGCCAGAGCAGAGAGCTGGACTGCAAGAGGAGCCACTGGGACCAGAACCTGGCACCCATATGGGATGCCTGTGCCACAGATGGAGGATTAACCAAGTGAGCCACGGCACCGGCCCTCCAGAAGACAATTTAAACAAAGGAAAAAGTGGGGGGCAGTAAGGTGGGACAAGGAGTAGGGAATGTATCAACAATGAAAGCATGTGTGTCATAACCTAGTGCCAATCTTATTTTATTTTCAATTTCCAAAAGAAAACAGATGGCATCCAACATTTAGTTCCAGTTTCCAGGTGTAGAGTGTCTGGAAGAAGGGGTGGGTCGCAGCTGCTCCTTGAATGGCTTTTGTTTGTTGTTTGTTTGTTTGTTTTAGTTCTGCAGCAGACACAGAAGACTAAACTCCTGAATTATCTTCAGCCCCAGCAGGTGGTATCGTGAGGCCCCGCAAGGAGCTAGGTGCTGAGCGAGCCCTGCCTCCAGCTCAGAGGCTGCTGGTTCCTGAGTGTCAGCCAGGACCGCAGGCAACAAACACAGCCCCTTCCTTGGCTCACTCAGGGCATGGGGGGACTGGACAGAAACCCCCCCTGCTGTGTTCACAAGGTCCCTTTCTTCGCGGCGCCCTCTGTTCTAACAAATGGGCAGCAGCATCTGGGTCATAGAAACCAGGATTGAGAGGCCAACAGCAGCTGTTCAGTGTCACAAGGAAGCCTGGGCCAAGCCACATTGAGGGAGCCACCCAGGTCTTCCAAGGAATCTGGTCATCTTTTCCCCCAGAGCAGCAGAATTTGAAGATGCGGCAGAGGCACCCCCAGGGTCACAGGGGTGGCAGGCAGGGCATTGGCAGCAGCATTGTGAAACAGAGCATGAGGGAGAGATGGCCACCATGGGCAGTGACGAGGGGCTAAGGGACTTTGCTGATAATCACAATGATCATTATCTCTTATTTATTTATTTGAAAGGCAGAGTTACAGAGGGAGGGGCAGAGATCGAGATTTTTCATCCTCCAGTTCACCCCCCAGGAGCCTGGAACTCCATCTGCCCCCCCCCCCCCCCCCAGCACTTGGGCCATCTTCCACTGCTTTCCCAGGTGCGTTAGCAGGGAACTGGATCAGAAGTGATGCAGCCGGGACTTGAACCAGAGCTCATGTAGCATGCCGGCACTGCAGGTGGCAGCTTAACCACTACATCACAGCCCCAGCCCCATGATCATTGCCTTCGTAACTGCTCCCATGTATAGAGCATCGCCTCTGTGTTAAGCACTGGGCACAGCATAGTCTGCTGGTCCACACAAAGCCCTAACCACGATACTTGGCATCTAATAAGTGATCAATAAACATCAGCATTATTATCCATATGTAATTATCTCATTACTCTTCATAGCAACTCCAGGAGGTGGGTATAATCATGTCCCTACTTGACATGGGGGAAACTTGGGCTATCCAAGGTGACCTGAAAAACAGCAAACTCGGCTGCAGCTTGTGCCCCTAATCACCACGCCACAAATATTTACTGAGGTCTTAATGTCTTCCATTCTCTATTATTCTTTTTAATTTAATCCAGAACCATTCCAAAAGGATGGAAATGATTTCCATCAGGACCGAGTGGAGTTGAGAAGGGGATTTTCAGTGCTAGTCCCCAGGAAGTATTTAGGTTTTTTCTTAGAAGCACAAGGCTCAGAAACGCTGCTTACATTCTGAGGCCCTAACATTACCTCTCCCTTACCTTCTGTGGGTTTCGACCACAGCCCCCAGGGACTGGTAGTGAGCAGGAGCTTGGGGAGACGATTCCCAGATGCCTCCACCACCTCCTGGGGACCAGTCTAAGGGTCCCTGGGAAGCTTCCCCCATGGCACGGGAGGACAGACTTGAAGGCTGGGGCAGGGGCTCAGTGGGAAGGCATAGGCTCCTGGCAGATCCAGGCAGTGGCCTTCCCTCTGGAGAGTAAGTGGGAGCAGCCCCCACCCCCCGAAACCCCCTTCACCATTCTGAGTGGGAGCTATTGCTGTTCCCACTTCCCAGGCTCTCAGTTGAACTCCGGGATTCCTACGGAGCCTGCGAGTGGGACATTCGCTCAAGAGACACCTGTGCGAGTGACGCATCCTGAATGCCCTGACCAGCCTCAGTTTACAGAACAGGCCACTGTGGCAGAGAGGACCTGGCTGGGCCTTGAGGCACAGGATGGGAACTATTTTAGGTTTACGTCCCTTCTTTAACAAACAGGGAACCACACTGGGAAATGAGAGAAAAGAGTTCCAGGGAATACGGTTAAATCTGCCTGTCCTTCTACTCCTGCTCTGGGGAGAATTCTTACTTCCTAAAGACAACACTCTTTGTTGTTATCTTTAATAAAAAAGTTTTTAAAAAATTCGGGAAATAATTTGACTCGTTTCAACCAGGAATCCAGTGCATTTGCAGAGAGAGGAGAAGCATTGCCTCTGTCCTGGTGCTGCAGTGAGACGGCCTCTTGCGTCCCCCCACCCTCACCCCCTCCCCCAGGCCTCAGCCTGTCCCCCTTCTGTGTGCACACACCTGTGCCACAGAATAACTCGGTTCCCAACAGAGGGCAATGTCCAGGCACAGGGGCCTTCCTAGCAGAAACTGGTAAGCCAGAAACCAGAAGGTTTTGCCCGGTATGACTGTCTACTGGTCTGCTAATGAAAGCCTGATGTGGGTGAGCCCATTCTTCAGTCCATCCAGGGCCCAAGTGGGCTGCGATGGCTTAGAAACTCGAGATCCCCACAGAAACCAAGTCATGCAGCAAAGAAATGAGAATTTGGTGAAGAGTGTGTGCAGACTGTTTTAAATATCAGGAAGGCGAGGCAAGGGGGTACAGTTCAAGCTGAACTTTGCTGATCTGAAGAGGCAGATGTCAAGGGGGGAAATTTCAGTGTTAAAGCCTTTCTTATTTCATCTATGATTCAGGCTGCTTTTTTTCTTTTTCTTTTCTTTTTTTTTTTTTTTTTTTTTTTTTTTTTTTTTTTTTTTTGGACAGGCAGAGTGGACAGTGAGAGAGAGAGAGAGAAAGGTCTTCCTTAGCCATTGGTTCACCCTCCAATGGCCTGCGCACCGCGCTGATCCGATGGCAGGAGCCAGGTGCTTATCCTGGTCTCCCATGGGGTGCAGGGCCCAAGCACTTGGGCCATCCTCCACTGCACTCCCGGGCCACAGCAGAGAGCTGGCCTGGAAGAGGGGCAACCGGGACAGAATCTGGCGCCTCGACCAGGACTAGAACCCGGTGTGCCGGCGCCGCAAGGCGGAGGATTACAGGCTACTTCTTATACATCCATTAAGTCTCTTCTCTTGCTTTCTTTCTTTCCCCTCAACACTGAAATGAAATGGCACAGTTACAACTACATATTTGCTTGTTTTTAAAGATGTATTATTTGAAAGGCAGAGTGATAGAAAAAAGAAGAGGCAGAGAGAGAGAGAGAGTGAGAAAGCAAGAGAGAGATTTTCCATCCTCTGGCTCACTCCCCCAAATGCCCACAATTGCAAGGGCTGAACCAATTTGAAGCCAGGATCCAGGACCTTTATCTGCTACATGGATGGCAGGGGCTCAAGCACTTTGGGCCATCTTCTGCTGCTTTCCTAGGTGCATTACAGGAAGCTGGGTAGGAAACAGAGCAGCCAAGATTTGAACCAGCACTCTGATATGGGATGGTGGCTTAACCCGCTGCACCACAACACCAGTCCCTGCTTGTCTTCTTACCTTCTTCTTACTATTTGATTTAAAAAAAAAAAAAATGAAAGAACTTAACCCAGGTGCAGCCATTTTCACCATCATTTGTACTTGCCATTTCCAAGGAGTTAAATTAGTGACCAGCACACTTGGTGCAGGAAAACTCAAGGCCATAGTAGCTTGCCACCAGCACCCGCAGTGGCCAGCATAGCATGCATGTGCCGGGGCTTCCTGAAGCAATCTCCAGGAACCAAATGGCCTGATAAAGTCACCGGAACCTCAGAAAAGGAGAACAGATGTTTCAGGCCAAACCAGCCTCTTGAGTCGTTGTGCTGTCAGTCCGAGAGACTGACGAAAAAGAAGGCTAACAATCTGACTTTGCGAATTCCTCATTTGGAGTCTGCTTAGGGAAGCCCTCTCCACAGAAGTGGATTCATATTTATTTCAGTTAAGGTGGGAATCATTTCACTGCAGGAGTTAAGCAAGACGTGGTGGAAATTCAGTTAGTTCATCTCTGATGAGAGGAAGGCAACACACAATTCCCCCATTCACCCAGCGGTTTTTGGTCTACGAGTTGTACAAAATGTTTGCTTCGGATAACCAAGTCCCCTTTCAGCACGAACGCTGCTGTTAGACATTTCTAACTGCCTGTGCTGGCCTCCCAGGATTACTGAAATCCATCCAAGCAGTTGAAGTGACTACTGAAAAAAGATCTAAATGCCATCTCTGCTAATTCTCAGACACAATTCCTCCTAGACAGAACACAAGATCTGGATAATTCCTCATCGGAAGCTCCCACCTCCAAGACAGCTACTGCATGGGTCTGAGCAGATATTCCTGTGTTTCTTAATCCTGGCTATTTGATTTTTAAAATGAAAAAGCTTGACCCAGGGACAGCCTTTCGCGTAGGATCGGCCCTCAAGAAACGTGGTGGAACTAGCCGCATTTTCCTTGGGGACACTTCTTTCAACCTCAAGATCTTGGGGACGTCACTCGGAACCTGTCACTTGGAACCAAGAAAAAGGAAACACAAAGATGGAATGTGGTTTTTCTTTTTTTTTAAAGATCAAAGGAAAAACCCAGTAAGGAGAGAGAGCACACATGATAGCAAGAGACAGTTCTGAACGGAGCTTTGTTCCTGACCACTTTTATTCAATCATTCTTTTGACAACTATTAATTGACTTCCCATCATTCCTCTTATTCCCTGGACCGCAGAGTTGGAATAAGTGGTAGCATTCACCGAGGGCTCTGATGTCCCAGGCGCATATGTGGAGTGTGGTAAGCACTCTGCACATCTTATTCAATTCTGTCAACCACTCTGAAATACACACTATTACCCTCCTTTTAAACACAGGGAAAGCTGAGACAACTCTTAAGTAACTTGCTAGGACCCCTTGATTTCTCTAGTGTACCGCATCCGGTTCCCTGCTTTTTCTTTCCAACTCTGACTACTGAATGGTTAGTGTCCGAAGGACTGACCTTGTTTCTTTGAAATATTCCCCAAACTGTGATTAGTTTTCCTTGTGATCCAAATACATTTATTCCAAGTCATGTGCTACTCGTTAGTGGAGAATTAGATCCTGCCTTTCTCTGACCTATGTTTAAAGTCTGCTAGTCAGAACACCAGGGGACAGGGTGTCACGGGAGGGTCACAGCCACCGCTGACAGATGAGTCACAGGGGAGCCGGACAAGAGCCCCCACTCCCACTCCCACCCCCACCCCCACCCTGGGGCAAACTAACTCTAGAAGGGCAGCGGCCAAGTTCAGGTGACTCACCTGCCTGCACTCTCCAACTGTTCCCTCCACCATGTTCTGTCTCCGAACACCCCCAGAAGGTGAGGGCATGAGGATGACATACTCCCTAAGGAGCCTGGGCTTTGGGGAACGCTGCACTCCTGGCTTCCTCCAACCATGGAACAAATTATCCCTGTTGCCACGGCTGGGGAAATGCCTTCAGCTCAGGGGTTGAGTTGGTGGTGCCAAGATGGTCGAAGGACAAAAGAATGTCCACAGACAGAATGGGCTCCGGCATTGCACAGCCTAGCTGCGAGAACAGGGATGTTGAAGGCCTCCCCAGTGGGGCTGTGGGAAGGAAAGGCAGGGGAGGCAGCCGTCTCCGTCACCGCCAGCGGGGGTAGCTCCTTCCAGGGCACCTGTATGGGACAGGAGGCAGATTCTGAGCAAAAAGACAGTCTAGGGCTGGCTGGCTCCCCTGCTGTGCCCCGCCACCCTGCAGGTTCTTGGTGTTAGGAGGCGTGGGACTACTGGGGCAAGGGGAATGGTTTGAGATCCAACAGCTTGGTGTGCTCCTCTGCCAGAAACTGCAATTCATCCGTGACTCTGCTCGCTCCCTCCACCCCTACGGTCAGTCAACCAGATTCGGCCCACAATTGTTGCTTAGATCACTGTGGTGGCCCCTAACTGACCTCCAGGCCTCCATTTTGGTCCTTCTCCTGCTCATCCTACACCCCTGCCAGAGCGAATCATGAACATGTGACTGCGACAATATCTCCTCCTTGCTTAAAACCCTAAGCACGGTCCCCAAGCTTCCGGGATCTCTCCCGGGTTCTCCAGCCTCATCTCCCACAGTTCACGCAAGGTGGCCGGCACTCTCAATGCTGGTCTGTTACAGTTGCCTTGCTCCTCCTACGTCCCACCTTTTTTTTTTTTTTTTTTTCTTTCCCGAAAGGGAGAATTTGTAGCTATTATGACTGTGGAAAACTAATTAAGCCTCTCATTGGATGCACTCCAGCTCTCTTGCTCCCTACAGAAATGGGCAAGAATGTGGGTCTAGAAGGAAACCAGAGGGGAGCTTAGGCCTCCAATACTCTTACAACCTTGTAGGACAACTAAAGGATCCCAAGAAGAACGGGCACTATTGGACACACAAACACGAAAATCAAACAAGGTTGTGAAGTATTGTTAGTGCCTAGAGAGCGGTGATCGGCTCATGTTTAGTTGGTGCTCAGCCCAATATCCAGTACATGGTATATGCTCAGTGTACTGGACTGGACAGTGTCACCCCCAAAATCCATGTCCTTCCTAGAACCTCTGAATGTGGCCTTATTTGGAAATAGGATCATTGCAGTTGTAGTTAGTTAAGTTGTGGTCATCCTGGAGTAGAGTGGGCCCTTAATCCCAGGTAACTGTTATCCTCATAGAAAGAGGAGAAGACACCACATGACAACAGACAGAGACTGGAGCGATGTATCTACAAGACAAGGAGCCCCAGGCAAGCACAGGAAACAAGGAAGATGCAAGGCATGTTCTTCCCCCATAGCTTTCAGAGACAGTGGGTCCTACTGACACCCTGACCTCAGATTTCCAGCTCCCAGGACTGTCAGAGAGTACATGTCCTTTGCTTTACGCCTCCTCATTTCCTAGGGAAGTAATATACTTTTATATTTTTGTTGGGTGAATGCATTAGAGAATAAATGAATGGTCACCTGTGCAAACTAACTTGGGGCCAAAGTGTTAGCCCTCTTACAAATATGATTTAAAGGTGATCAGCTAAGGTCCCTTTCTCCTGCGCCATAATCCCATAGCTGTAGCAGAGCCGAACAGACAGCTGAAACGCTAAACACCAGTGGAGAAGGTAGATTTGTTATCAGCAGAGCTTGGAAACAAAACAAAGAACACAGGGGTTTCTTTTCAAGGAATCCTAGATTCTTTAGAAAATCTGATAGAAACTATGGGCTCAGACCCCAGAAAAATGCAAGTACAGTCACTCCTCATCCCACCCCCCATCTCTGGGGGAATCAGTTCCAGGACCCCTTCCTAATACTCTCTAAGATCTGAAGATGCTCAGATCTTTTCAAATAGTGTAGCATTGGCATGGAACCTGCTACATCATTTTGTATATTTTCAGTCATCTCTGGATGACTTGTAATACCTGATGCACTAGAGCTGCTATGTAAGTAGTAGTTCTACTATATGGTTTAGGGAGTGCTGACCAAAAATGTCCAAATATGTTCAATTATAGATGCAGGGTTTTTTCCAAATATTTTCAATCCACGATTTGTTGAACTCACAGAGGTGGAACCCACAGACACAGAGGGCTGACTGTAGAGTGTAGTGAAGTGAACACACTATAGTTAATAGTTTCCTCCTACCCACTCCCCCCTCACAAAACCCTCTGAACCAAGATTAAGGATTCCTGAATTTGGAGCCAATGTTTTGGTGCAGCAGGTTAAGCTGCTGCCTGTGATGCCAGCATCCCAGAGTCCTGATAGCTCTACTTCCAATCCAACTCCCTGCTGTTGCACCTGGGAAAGCAGCTGAAGATGGCCCAAGTGGTTGGGCCCTGCCACCAGCATGGGAAACCTGGATGGAGTTTCAGGCTCCTGGCTTCGGCTTGGATCACGCCTGCCTTTGAGGCCATTTGGGAAGTGAACGAGAAAATGGAAAATTGTGTGTGTGTGCGCGTGTGCATGTGCGTGTGTGTGTGTGTGTGTATTTCCCTCTCTATATGTAACTCTGCTTTTCAAATAAATATATCTCAAACAAGAAAAAAAGGGAATTGCTGAATTAGAAGATAACAGAATATTGAAGATTTTTATCTTTTCTGTGAACATCCTGAAAACAGAGAAAGGCAATGAAGTTGTTTCTCCTTTTGAAATGTGGCCAAATCACATGAGACCTCATCCTTTGGGGTGGGTCCAGTGGCTCACCCAAGAATGATGCTGGACTACAGGTGGAGACCCTGGCCTAGACACACAGGGGCTTGAACTCCAAATCCTGCTTCCCCATTTAATCCTTTTGTTCTCTCTGTGTCCTATTCACTCCCAGCCCATCCAGTGTGGATGCTTTTAGGGTCAGAAGGTAGGTTAATGAGATAATGCCAGTAAAGCACTTTGCCTGTAGGAAAGAGTTCCTATGTAAACATAAGATATGATTGGACACTATCAGACTTCAGCTGGGCCAGCAGCAACCCAGCTAGTGTGATCTTCTTCCTTATCTACTGTGTGGCCAAATTGGGTTCTTTCTCCAAGGCAGAGAGTGTGGGAGGTCTTCTGTTGGCTGGTGCAGGGACTCCGATAAGTGGCCCCTATCACCTCCCCTTGAGCAGAGCAAACAGATCATTTGACTGCGTTTGATGAAAGGCCCGGCCTGTGCTAACAGTGGGTCCCCACGCTCTTTGTGCATATGTACGGAGCCAGCAACCTTCTGGGAAGGCTCTCTTTACAGGGCGTGTTCGCTTCAATGTGAACTCAATATTGCAATGTATCTACAGGAAAAGAAATGTCATGTCAAGTTTGATGGTTGTGACTTTTTTATTACCTCTTGAGAATGACTTCCCCACTTTTTCTGCTGTTTTTGGCCAACTTGAAAAAAAGAAGGAAAAATATAATACCACTGATCTCTGACACATTGTTTTCAGAACTTATTAAAAGTAACAAAAAGATTACTTTCTATAATTAATAAATTGTCAACATGCCATTAAACAGGAATGCTTCAAACTAAGAAACCCTCCTCCAACAAAGGCAACAAACAGAAAGCAACAACAAATTGCTTGAAATCTATAGGAATTTGTGAGGTTTTTTTTTTTTTAATCTCAAGGTGGTTTTTTTTCCATCATCACTGACAAGGATGGAGTGAACTGAAAGGAGGTCAGGCAGTTCTCATCAGTGAGAAGATGACAGAGGCTCTTAACTCCCAGTCTTAAGGATGGCACTGCAGAGGGAAGGAATTCAACCTGCCATCACCCGCCTCCCACGCATTCAGGGTGGCTGAAGTAGACGGCAGCCGGTGCTCTGCAGTGGCTCAGGCCTCATCTCATGTTTCACCACATTTTAGCAGTCCTGCTTTCCAGCCAGAAGGATGACCTTTCAGAGACGGTTGAATCCTAACCACGTAGAGAACGAAAGCTGACTTTCTCCCTGCCTTTCTCCCTCCCGGCCTTCCTAAACGTACATTGGCCAACTGTTACGTGCCAGGCACTATGCAAAGTCAAGGTGAGTAACACATTCTATTACCTGCAGAATTCGTATCTAGACCATTGGGTGGCAGCTCTCCGTGCTTTCTGAAGGGCAGAGATGCACCCTGGGAAGAGGAATCCGCTTTTTGAAGTGCAGGAGAGACTGGGAAGGGAAGGAGGGGAAGGGGGAGGGGGAGGGGGAGAGGGAGGAGGGGGGAGGAGGAGGAGGAGACTTGGTGTGTGATTGTACTCAAGAGGTCCTGTTTCAGACACACTTGAAAGGAGTATGTATGATCGGCTGATAGTCTTGCCATTTTACTTATCCTGTTTCTTCCTCCAGTGGACCAGACATTTAACAGCTACTCAGAACCACCTTAAGTGACCCCCACCACACTTTAAGACGTGCTGGTACTCATCGTATTTATATCACAGGCTAAATCATGAACCTCAGATGTTCCAAATCTTTTCCTCTTCAAATACCATGTCCTATGAACATTCATGCCTCATCAAAATGCAGGAAGGATGAAGGAAAAACCACCCCAGTGGGTTTCAAAAATGATATACATTGATGGTTTTTAAACATGTATTTAACATTTACTAAAAATAGCTCTGATTGCAGGAGAAAATTAATTAAAGTAGACGAAAAGCTTCTAATCAGATTTATTTTATCTGATCGTGTAATGAGATCTGGCTTTGAGGCCATCCTAACAAGTGTATTTGAAAAGGAAGAGAGATCATTGTTTATTGGAATGGCAATAATTTAGGCTTCTTTAATTGACTCCTGGTGTGAATACGTTGATGCCTGCTGTTCTCTAAGAGCCAGTGTGGAAAGTTTCCAGGAAAAGTTCACATTCCAGGGGCAGCTTTGGAATCTACTTTCCATTCCAACCCAAGCCAGACATCAGGGTTTGAGCCCCCACCAGCGAAACACCAGCTTTCACAGGCAGCAGCCACCATAGCTGTGCCAGGGGCTAGGTAAGGAACTTTCGTTGAGCTGGCCTGTCAAGATAATGGAGGGTATTTCCAGAATCCTACCTTCCCTGTGTTAAAAGCACTGTGGGCACCACAGACTGTGACCCCAGCAGTAATGGTTTGGAAGCAACACTAACGTTCTGAAATTAAGTGGGCCAGGGTAAGGCTGCAGGGAAGGGGGAGGAGCACTAAAAATGTCTCCCTCAGTGCTCCCAAATGCCCAAGAGCAGTATTGCAGCTGCCTGCTAGAAATGAGCACATACCATAGGAATTTAATAAGGTGTAAAATAAAAATAATCCATGACCCCGCTTGAAAGCAGAGGTACATTTTGAAGTTTCTCACTACTCTAAGCTCCAATAAATTGACATTTGCTTTTTGGGGAACTTTAGGTGAGAAGGAAGGTAGACACTGGGAGTCCTGAAAGAGAAAGTGGAGATTTTGAAGCCTTATTTGATACTGAAGTCCTAACAGATGGTGTTCTTCTCCTCTCTCTCCCTCTCTACCCCCACCTCTTTCGCTGTCTCCTCTCTCTCTCTCTCTCTCTCTCTCTCTCTCTCTCTCTGAGATACATAGATAGATACAGATGAGGAGACTTCAAAAAGTTCATGTGAAAATGGAATTAAGTATTCCATCACGTTCAAGATGTTTTTTGGGAGCTACAACACCAGCCATGTGGTTCATCCCTAAAGCATGGAGGCTACTGGGGATTTAGCCATGTCAGTAGCTATCTTTCTTACATTTTTACCTGAAGGAAAATGGGTGTCTTCTAAAGATTATTTTTAAAGATTAGGAAGCAAAACAAAGCAAAAGGAGCCAAATCAGGACTATAATGTGGATGCCTAATTCTTTCCCACAGAAACTCTCATGAAATTACCCGTGTTTGATGAGAGGAATGAGCAGGAGCCTTGTCATGGTGCAAAAGAACCCTCCAGGGAAGCTTTCGCAGGGTTTTTCTGCTAAAGCCTTGTCTAACTTTCTCCAAACACTCTCATAATAAGCAGATGTTATCATTCTTTGGCCTTGCAGAAAGTCAGCAAGCAAAATGCCTTGAGCACACCAAAAAAATTGTTTCCATGACCTTTACTCTTGATCTTTCCACTGTTCATTATCTGGCCCATTCTACCTCTTGGTAGCCATTGCTTTGATTGTGCATTGTCTTCAGGATTGTACTGTTAAAGTCATGCTTCAACTTCTATTATAATGCTTTGGAAAAATTCCCCCAGGATCTTGATCCATTTGTTGAAACTTTACACTGAAAACTCTACTCTTGTTTGCAGCTGAGCTGGGTGAAACAGTGTTGGTGCCCATTGAATAGAAAGCTTGCTCCATTTTAATTTTTCAGTCAGAATTTTGCAAGCTGAGCCAAATGAGGTGTCTATGGGATTGGCTATTGTTTCTGCTGTGTATCATGGGGTCTCTTCAATTAAGATATGAATAATATTAATTTTTTCCATGCAAATTTATGTGGATGGGCAGCCCCTGAGGGCTTAATTTTCCAACACCATCTCATCTTTTCTTATAATGAGTTAGCCATTTTCAACTGCTGCTGGGGGGGGGGCATTGTCCCCATAAATTTTTTGTAAAGCATTGGTGATTTCCCTAGTCTTCCACCCAACCTCCACTGTCAATTTGATGCTTGCTTTTACTTCTATTTTAGCATAATTCATGTTGCTTTGGTAGGGGCTCTTTTCAAAATGGTGTGTTATTCTTCCTATTTTAAAAATATAAGCTTTTTTTTCAGATTTATTTTACTTAAAAAGCAAAGTTACAGAGAGAGAGAGAGAGAGAGAGAGAGAGAGATCTTCTATTCAATGGTTCACTCTCCAAATGGCTGCAATAGCAGGGGCTGGGCCAGGCTGAAGCCAGGAACATGGAGCTCTGTATCCAGGTCTCCCGTATGGTGGCAGGGGTACAATCATCATCCATTGCTTTCCTGGGTATATCAACAGGGAGATGGATGGGAAGTGGAGCAGCCAGAACACAGTGCCCAAATGGGATGTCAATATTGCAGCTGGTAGACTAACCTGTTGTGCCACAGTGCCAGCCTTGATATCTTATTCTTAGTACCTCATACTAAATATTGTTCAGACATGTTCTAACAAGTCAATAGGAGTTTATTTTGGTGCAAAAAAATGTAAATCCATGCATGTTTTTATAATACACACTTTTTCCATAAACATTTTACAGATCCCATGTATAATCATAACTGTTTGCTTTGTTTTTCTGTGGCACATGTTATACCTTGACTAACCCTTGCAACAACCTTGCAAGGTTAATGGCATTATTCCAATATGCAAAATGAGGTGTGAAGAGGTTATATAACTGGTCTAGGATCTTATGGCAAAGTTTAGCCAATATTTGAACCCAAATACCGTCTGACTCTGTCTACTGCCACCCCAGAGCACCTGGCTGCATGTTCCCCACACCATCCCCCAGGAGCAGCCAAATTAGGGGGGACACCTGTGGTAGCCAATTATCCAATACAAAAAATTATTTCCTCCCTCTCTCTCTCTCTCTCTCTGTCTCTCTCAGACTTTCTTTTCTCCTTTGCCTCTCTTAGCCACCACCAAACAATCCTCAGAACACACAACCCTAGGTGTCCCACTTCCAGCAGGAAAAGATGAAACATGACCAAAGTTCAGCACTGCCTTAAAAAACAAAACAAAAAACAGTTTTTTGAGGGAGAGAGAGAGAGAGAGAGAGAGAGAGAGAGAGAGATAAATCTCCTACCCACTGGTTCACTCCCCAAATGCCCACAAGAGCTAAGATTGAGCCAAGCCAAAGCTAGGAGCTAGGAACTCAAACCGAGACTCCCAGGTGGGTGGCAGAGGCCCAACGACTCATCTGAGGACTCAGTTTGGGAATGCTCTCCCACCGTCTCCCTGCCCCCACCCTGCAGCATTCTTGTCTTTTAGGAGCTGCAGTATCTTCTCCACTATTGAACTGATTCTTCCCCATCGCCATTGTTTTCCATCTAAGTTTCTTATAAATTCCTCATGGAACCTACTACCACTTGTAATTCTATGTATTTTGTTTGTTTGTTTGTTTGTTTTTTGTCTGTTATTGCATCCAGGTTCCTAGCACAGAACCCAGAACATTCTATATGTTCAAAAATGATTTGTTAAATGAACAAGCTGGCTACCTCCATAAACCATTTTATTTCTCTTGACCGAATGGCCATAACAACCCAAACCAAGTGTATCCAATGTATTCTTTCAAGAAGAACTGGAAGATGTCACTATACAGAAATACCAGTATGTAATTAGAGAAAAGAAAAACCTCATGACTGGTACAAGAAAGCAGAACTTACTCCCAGAAATACCCTTGTTTGTGACCAAGCATTATCCATGTAACTCTTTAATTATCAGTTTGTGTTTACTGGCCAGTGGACTCTGAGTTCTCGAGAGCTGGGATGGGGATTTTCTTATATTTTATGCCCCAGACACAGCACAGTGCCTGGCACATATCAGCTGTTTCATAAATGTTTGTTGGGAAGGAGGGGAAGAGGAAGGGAGGAAAGGGGAGAGGGAGATAGGGCAGGAGGGAGGGAGAACTGTCCAATAGTGGCAACTTCTAAATGATTGTGGTAACTGGGAAAGGGCAGGAACTAATAAAGCAAGCAGAACTGTAGCCCTGGGGTACCCTGGGGGTACTCCTTGGCATCTCCACAAGCACCGAGATCCAGGAAGCAGATACCAAGACAGGAGGGGGGCGCACAAGATGTACTGGGGAAAACACCTATGGAACCAGGGAAACTGCCAGCCTGGACACAGGTCTACTCAGGCAAGGGAAGGAAGGAAGGAAGGAAGGAAGGAAGGAAGGAAGGAAGGAAGGCCAGCAGGAAGTGCTTGAGATTCCAGTGCGATCCTAATGAGGTTCCACAGGGCCACCAGGCATCCTTGAGCCCAAGTTGCCCATCACAGGTGTCCCACACCTGAGCTTCTCCCAAGACCCATCCTGCCTGCTGCAGGTATCTCAACCTGGCCTCAGGGCAAGCATCTAGACCAACATCAGGGCCTCCAGCCAATATTCTGCTGCTGGCATTGGGAGACCTGAGAGGTGCT